CACCCACTCATCCTCCCCACTTCTATGGCATAGCACTTCACATACCCACTCATTCACTTCTTTACTTCCATGACATACCACGTCACACACTCACTCATCCTCCCAACTTCTATGGCATACCACGTCACACACTCACTCATCCTCCCCACTTCTATGGCAAAGCACTTCACACACCCACTCATTCACTTCTTTACTTCCATGACATACCACGTCACACACTCACTCATCCTCCCCACTTCCATGGCATACCACTTCACACACCCACTCATCCTCCACCCTTCCATAGCATCCCACGTCACACACTCACTCATCCTCCCCACTTCCATGGCATACCACGTCACACACCCACTCATCCTCCCCACTTCTATGGCATAGCACTTCACACACCCACTCATTCACTTCTTTACTTCCATGACATACCACTTCACACACCCACTCATCCTCCCCACTTCCATGGCATACCACTTCACACACTCACTCATCCTCCCCACTTCCATGGCATACCACTTCACTCACCCACTAATCAACCTCACTACACCCAGTGACACACCACGTCATTCACCAACTCATCCACTTTTTTACACTCAGTGACATACCACTTCACTCACTCACTAATCAACCTCACTACACCCAGTGACACACCACGTCACACACACACTCATCCTCCACACTTCCATGGCATACCACTTCACACACCCACTCATCCTCCCCACTTCCATGGCATACCACTTCACACACTCACTCATCCTCCCCACTTCTATGGCATACCACTTCACTCACCCACTCATCTTCCCCACTTCTATGGCATAGCACTTCACACAACCACTCATTCACTTCTTTACTTCCATGACATACCACGTCACACACCCACTCATCCTCCCCACTTCCATGGCTTACCACGTCACACACTCACTCATCCTCCCCACTTTCATTGGATACCACTTCACACAACCACTCATCCTCCCCACTTCTATGGCATACCACTTCACACACCCACTCATCCTCCCCACTTCTATGGCATAGCACTTCACACACCCACTCATTCACTTCTTTACTTCCATGACATACCACGTCACACACCCACTCATCCTCCACACTTCCATGGCATACCACTTCACACACCCACTCATCCTCCCCACTTCTATGGCATAGCACTTCACACACCCACTCATCCTCCCCACTTCCATGGCATACCACTTCACACACCCACTCATCCTCCCCACTTCCATGGCATACCACTTCACACACCCACTCATCCTCCCCACTTCCATGGCATACCACGTCACACACCCACTCATCCTCCCCACTTCCATGACATACCACATCACACACTCACTCATCCTCCCCACTTCTATGGCATACCACTTCACACACCCACTCATCCTCCCCACTTCCATGGCATACCACTTCACTCACCCTCTTATCAACCTCACTACACCCAGTGACACACCACGTCACTCACCGACTCATCCACTTTTTTACACTCAGTGACATACCACTTCACTCACCCACTAATCAACCTCACTACACCCAGTGACACACCACGTCACACACCCACTCATCCTCCCCACTTCCATGGCATACCACGTCACACACCCACTCATCCTCCCCACTTCCATGGCATACCACTTCACACACCCACTCATCCTCCCCACTTCCATGGCATACCACTTCACACACTCACTCATCCTCCCCACTTCCATGGCATACCACTTCACTCACCCACTCATCCTCCCCACTTCTATGGCATAGCACTTCACACACCCACTCATCCTCCCCACTTCTATGGCATACCACTTCACTCACCCATCATCCTCCCCACTTCCGTGGCATACCACTTCACATACCACGTCAGATACCACTTCACATACCACTTCACATACCACGTCACATACCACGTCACATACCACGTCACATACCCCACTACCCCACAAGCAGGAATTCCTTCAACGTTGTTTGAGGATTTGAAGGATTCGTTCCATTTTACCCAATCGATCGGTGAGCCGAGGGATCATATTAACATTGAGACTCGTCAATGAAAAGGATCCTTCTTAACTAACATGCTGCCCACTTTGCTAGTGTTGTCTGAAGCACTGGTGTCGTCGACGTTGAAGCTCCGGCGTCAAGCTTTGGCCTCGTGGACTCGTTATTGTGGCGTCGGACTGTCCTCATAGATATACCTTTGCATCCAGGGATGATTTTGTTCGTTTGTTGTTCAACGCCGCACTCGTCAATATTGCAGCAAAACGACGGCGGACTAAAATTATCGAATATGGACCAGGTAATCCATGAATGATATCATGAACATCAATACACCCAATTTGGATACGATGACATGCATCAACCGACTCAGCGACCATGACCACCCGATCCCGTTACTCGCCTCTCACAAGCCTACCAGCGACATTTGGTCGGTTGCGCTTCTTCGCCCTTTTTTATGTATGTTCCCGTTGTTCAAATAAACAAATCATGTATAGGTATATATTTGTAAGTGAAAACAACTTTTGCCTTTGAGTATTTGAGAGATCACATGACATATGATGAGAATAGAATCGGCTGACATGTCATCACTTCCCCTTGGAACCCCAGTATAAACGTCATTCCACCGAAAGCGTTCTTGCTGTATTAATGTCTACTTCAGCATAAGTGGAATCAACTAATAGGGGACGCACATTTTCACATAACGCTTTGAAAACGGAAAAGGTTTCTGATCATTTTCCTGTGTTATACATCGTCATGTGGTTCACATGCTTGAAAGCAGGATGTTGGACTATTTGATGTCACAGTTCAGTGATGTTAGACAATGGATCAAGGGAATTAAAACTTTGAAAGGAAAATCACTATATTCTGCTGTGCGGCGTCAGGCAACAACCAAACCCTTCTGTTATCTGCAAATTGTGTGAGAGACGGTTGAGGTACCGGTAGAGCTGGACATGTTTAACCTTTTCGTGAACATCTTGTGCCATCACTGATTTTCAGTTATCCATTCAAATAATTTTCATTGCTGTTTTGCCTTTTACGCCGAATGAAATCTGATTCCGAGGATAACCGAGACTGGTTATTTTCTGGCGTTGACGTTTTATATCAACAACGTTAGAATGTACAAACATGTTCACACATGATACAATCGGAAGAGCATAATCGACTGTTTTCAGCAGAGATTTTTTATGACTATTGAATGGGTTTTGATGCTTTTATTATGAGAAGTCCCTGGATGTCATGGGGTAAGGAGCACATTAATACTACATAAAGTCGTCGAAAACGGGTAAAGTGTTTTCTTGACTTTAAGAAGCAATTTACGTTTTGTTCACAAAAATTAACTACGGATCACGAATTTCAACCAAAACTGGAAGAGGATTGAATTCAGTTTAACGCCCTTTGCAACAATATTCCAGTTGACGTGAAGGGTAAGCCAAGAATGACTTTGGTGAAATCAGCGATCATGGCACTCATAATCAGAGTTAATCTAGGATTCGAACCCACGATTATCCGATCTCGAGAAATTTGGACCACACGTGCACCATGACGTTGGAGAGTTTAAGGACTTAAGAAATTCACAAACATGACGAGGTCGACTTTATTAAAAGATAATTAACTTCTCAACAAATTCAACAACAAAAACGAATATAACAATATTGTCTCCCAAATGAATGACACGGTAAAAGTTATATGTTGATATAGGTTTGATGATGGCAAAAAACGAAAGTCAATTCTCAAATGACAGTCTGTAAAGAAAACACAAAATTGTTTGGAAAAATTATAATAATACATTTTGAAAAAAAGAAAATTAAATTGTTTTTAGTCACGGTAAACATCAGTACACTTTAAACCTTCAAGAACGGGAGAGTAGATTTTAATTGTGTGCTTGAAAAAGTGACAAGAAAATGATCACAGGTAAATTTGACTTTGGAAAACATTTATAACCAAAAGGTAAATTATTTACGGTAACACACAGATGTAAGTGGCTGCATGTTATTTTCGGGTGCATTCTGGTAATATTCCAGCGATACTACAGCGGCCTGAAAGTAATCAGGTGTGGGCAAGATACACAAGTCATTGGTATGAGAGCGCCGCCCGCCCTTGCCTTGAACTCTGATCGGGACATGAAAATGAATATCACTTGACGCAAGACGATAGGTCATATATCTATTTAGAATAAATCTTGCTTTAATCACAGTACGTTTGTTGTATACCAATTTGTACTGAAGGTAGCCTGTTTCTTAGATTGAAGGTGAGTGAGAATGGTTTTACGCCGCTTTTAGCAATATTCCAGCAATATCACGGCGGGGGACACCAGAAATGGGCTTCACACATTGTACCAGTGTCGGGAATCGAACCCGGGCCAACGCTTTAACCACGAGGCTACCCGACCGCCCCCTTATATTGAAGGAATGATAAACACTTGAGTTTCCTGAGACTATCATCTTTTTAGTTTCATGTCATGTCTCATAAACATCCAAGATCCTGAATAGAATACATGTATGTTGCCAGGTTTGGAATAGAAGGATCATGGAAGAATTATAGCTTTCATCACGTGAGTGAGTGAGTGAGTGAGTGAGTGAGTGGGTGGGTGGGTGGGTGGGTGGGTGAGTGAGTGAGTGAGTGAGTGAGTGAGTGAGTGAGTGAGTGAGTGAGTGAGTGGGTGGGTGGGTGGGTGAGTGAGTGAGTGAGTGAGTGAGTGGGTGAGTGAGTGAGTGAGTGAGTGCTACTTTGAAGTTATATTCCAGCTTTATGTGGGGGGAAATCCCGAGGTGATGCAGATTTCTGACGTGCACGACTTTGGTGAAACGCACGAGCACGGTATGGTGCTGACAAACCTAGAAACCTAATCGGGGCGAACGATCATAGGTTTCTGACGTACCCAAGGGACGCAACTCTGCATTAGACGACAAGGTCACTCGTGCCCCCCACCACGTAATTCAGAATGACAGTGTCATTTTATCATGCATGATACCGTGTATTAATTTACAAATTATTTGCATATGTTTTATTGTTTGCAGATCCTGTATTTAACAGTGGCTCTGGTAACAGGTGGATTACGTCTTGCAAGGGATTGCCAGCTATGTCAGTGTTCGGAAACCAGTGACACAATCACTGCCGACTGTACAAACCGAAACTTGTCATCCGTTCCCAGCAAACTTCCGCACAATACCACGAACTTGACACTGGCTCATAACAAAATTTGGTGCATTGGCAAGGGATTGAGAAACTACACATTCCTAAAGCGACTTGATTTATCATTCAATAACCTGAATCAACTTGGTCGTGATGACTTTGCCGGACTTTCTGAGTTGCAGGTTCTCAATCTCAGTGACAATCAATTACGTCTGTCCAAAAAGGTTTACCCATTGGGTTTGTTCCGCTCCCAGAAAAAACTACGGGTGCTGACAGTGAATAACAATCATCCACCAAAAAAGGTAGCCCATTTGAATGATCCACTACAGTACCCAGATGGAACCTTTAAAGATTTGGTTTCCCTTGAGGAACTTCACATAGATGGGCTCAGGAATCCAGTGTTTGGAGAAGGATTTAAATACACCAATATCACAAGGCTGGTGATTGGAGGGATTTGTGACATGAGACACGTGTCAAATGTAACATTCCTCTATTTGAGGGGAATAACGCACCTCGATATTACAAATTGTGAAATAACTGATATTGGTCAATCTGCATTTGAGCATCTCCATAACATTCACACGTTAGACTTGTCCAACAATCCCTATCTTGGTTTGGACAAGGCTAGTGCGAGTTTGTACGGTCTTCGTAATTCTTCATTGAAAATTCTAAAAGCAAATAAAATTGACAGATATCAGGGAACTGGCATTCTCGTATCTGTGGAACATGTAAAATATATGTCTGATATGGTCCTTGAGGAATTACATCTAGACGACAACCGGATAGAATTACTGGATCCTCGAGTGCCCCCCCTCATGCCTAAAACCCTTAAAACTGTTTCCATGCGAAAAAACATGTTTTTGTTTGGTATTTACCTTCTAACAATGACATCAATGTCCAACCTGCAGTTTTTGGATGTTTCTTCAGCTCATTGGTCTCATGCTCGTCCATTTTCAGTAGAGGCAAAAGCTCACCTTGCTTCTATCCTCACAAACCCTCATATGGATTATGCTGACATCTCACGACATGACGAAAGTTGCAATACAGTTTGCTCTGTCGCCAACTCAAATAAACATGATTTTTCTCAATTTGGAGGTATTTCTGTTGATGACATACCGTGGCCGGGAAATTTCACCATTAATATTCCACTGAATGCAACACATGGAAACGCCAGCAACTCAAAACTGAGTTACATCATTCCTAGAATTACCTTTGGTGAAAACAGATTGAAGGTTTTGGATCTGTCTTATAATTTCTTTACACAGTGGTCTGGGCCGATTATCGGGCTTCGTCATCTGGAATTCATTGATGGATCGCACAATTATTGTGACTTTATAAGCATACACTTCTGTGATGATTTCCTTTCCTTGAGAATACTGAACATCAGCTACAATTATCTTGGCTACTCTTTACAGAATGAAACATTTCGTAAGCTATCCAATCTTGAACATCTGGACCTATCAAATAATAAACTAAATACTCTTCCTAGGGACATTTTTAAGGGCTTAGAATGTCTCAAATACCTGAGTGTTCGGTCCAATTATTTGAATACGTGGAATGCCAATATTGGGGATCTGAGGAATCTGAAACTTTTGGACCTCTCTGAAAATCTCTTTGAGCAGCTTGATGTAACCTTTAGAAATCAGATTGATGACAATAAAAGCAAAGGATTGCTTATAGTGCTTCAAAAGAACCGATGGAGATGTACATGTGAGACGCTGAGCTTCTTAAAGTGGCTAAACATTAAAGGCAGTAGTGTTCATGATATGGAGGAACTATCCTGTACAGAGGTAGATGGTGGCGAAAAGAACATGGCCAATCTACCAGAAATCATCATGGAACTGGAGAAGAACTGTGCATCCTACACTGGGGTGGTGTTAGGGATGGTCAGTCTCATTATGCTTGTCTTGGCATTAACCGTGACAGGCGTCGTGTACAGATACAGGTGGAAACTGAGGTACCTCTACTACGTTGCCCGGAACAGACACAGAGGGTACCTGTCTGCTGTAGAGGCGGAACAGGAGTTCGAGTTTGATGCCTTCATATCCTACGCTGACGAGGACCGTGGACTTGTGGTACAGGGCATGAGGCAGAAGCTTGAAGAGATACAAGGACTAAAGCTCTGTATCCATCACCGAGATTTCCTCGTTGGAGAGGCTATTGCAGCCAACATCCTGAACGCTGTCAAATCCAGCAGAAAGACTGTGATCATCCTGTCCAGACACTTCTTGAGGAGCTACTGGTGTAAGTACGAAGTTGAGATGGCCAAGATGGAGAGTATCTACACTGGACGGAACGCACTGTTGGTCGTAGTCCTAGAGAACATCCCTGTGAAGGACATGCCTCCTGATATTGTGGAGTTGATGCGTCAAGATTCCTATGTAGAGTACACGGATGATCTGGATGGTCAAGAAGTGTTCTGGCAGAAACTGGATCGAGCAATACGTGTTTCCTAGAACGACCTCTCTATTTGAAAAAAATGGGACCAATCATTTAATATGCTTAAGATATACATCTTTTCTCTGAAAGGAGGAGTCCAAACACATCTTTTACAGACTTCAGACATTAAACACAAGGCTAAATAAGTTTTCCAAGCATTTTGTGGGACAGTTTAATAAACGAAAAACAATCTATCTTTATGTGTTGACATGAGCCTTAAATATCAGAAACCATCGGGCACAACATACGTCAAATCTCTCTTCAAATCATGTTTCCTTTACACCCACAGCATGAGTTGGATTACTGCAATTCACTTTTCTTCAACATCTCATCAGCTTGTGTTTTATCCTTTTCTGCAATCCCTTCATTGGCACCCAGTGAGGCCAATCTGTTCTGCACATCTTCTTTTTGTGTAAATTGTTGTATATATTATGAGGATCGTTAAGCATCTTATTATTGATATTGGGCACTATATAAATAGTTTTATAAACAGTTATGATTAATTATTGTTATTATTTACAGAGTAAAATAAATGCAGCAAAGAGGGTTTGGGTGATCCTGGCACAGTCAGGCTGGTTAGGCTCAATATCAGCTCAGGACCCTTGCCCCCTCTTCACGCAGCCCGGACAGCAAATGGGACTTCTCCCAGGAAGCGCTGCCTAGTCAAACCCACCCAGAACTTTTCAGAGAATGTGAAGACTCCCCAACAGTGCAGCCTTCTGCATTACCCAGATTGTCAGAAGGGCTGTAGCAAACCCGAGGCTATTCCCAGTGTCAGTCAACAGATTGGGAGGTACCAAACCTAACTATCCTGTACAGAGGTAGATGGTGGCGAAAAGAACATGGCCAATCTACCAGAAATCATCATGGAACTGGAGAAGAACTGTGCATCCTACACTGGGGTGGTGATAGGGATGGTCAGTCTCATTATGCTGGTCTTGGCATTAACCGTGACAGGCGTCGTGTACAGATACAGGTGGAAACTGAGGTACCTCTACTACATTGCCCGGAACAGACACAGAGGGTACCTGCCTGCTGTAGAGGCGGAACAGGAGTTCGAGTTTGATGCCTTCATATCCTACGCTGACGAGGACCGTGGACTTGTGGTAAGGGGCATGAGGCAGAAGCTTGAAGAAATACAAGGACTAAAGCTCTGTATCCATCACCGAGATTTCCTCGTTGGAGAGGCTATTGCAGCCAACATCCTGAACGCTGTCAAATCCAGCAGAAAGACTGTGATCATCCTGTCCAGACACTTCTTGAGGAGCTACTGGTGTAAGTACGAAGTTGAGATGGCCAAGATGGAGAGTATCTACACTGGACGGAACGCACTGCTGGTCGTAGTCCTAGAGAACATCCCTGTGAAGGACCTGCCTCCCGATATTGTGGAGTTGATGCGTCAAGATTCCTATGTAGAGTACACGGATGATCTGGATGGTCAAGAAGTGTTCTGGCAGAAACTGGATCGAGCAATACGTGTTTCCTAGAACGACTTCTCTATTTGAAAAAAATGGGACCAATCATTTAATATGCTTAAGATATACATCTTTTCTCTGAAAGGAGGAGTCCAAACACATCTTTTACAGACTTCAGACATTAAACACAAGGCTAAATAAGTTTTCCAAGCATTTTGTGCGACAGTTTAATAAACGAAAAACAATCTATCTTTATGTGTTGACATGAGCCTTAAATATCAGAAACCATCGGGCACAACATACGTCAAATCTCTCTTCAAATCAAGTTTCCTTTACACCCACAGCATGAGTTGGATTACTGCAATTCACTTTTCTTCAACATCTCATCAGCTTGTGTTTTATCGTTTTCTGCAATCCCTTCATTGGCACCCAGTGAGGCCAATCTGTTCTGCACATCTTCTTTTTGTGTAAATTGTTGTATATATTATGAGGATCGTTAAGCATCTTATTATTGATATTGGGCACTATATAAATAGTTTTATAAACAGTTATTATTAATTATTGTTATTATTTACAGAGTAAAATAAATGCAGCAAAGAGGGTTTGGGTGATCCTGGCACAGTCAGGCTGGTTAGGCTCAATATCAGCTCAGAACCCTTGCCCCCTCTTCACGCAGCCCGGACAGCAAATGGGACTTCTCCCAGGAAGCGCTGCCTAGTCAAACCCACCCAGAACTTTTCGGAGAATGTGAAGACTCCCCAACAGTGCAGCCTTCTGCATTACCCAGATTGTCAGAAGGGCTGTAGCAAACCCGAGGCTTTTCCCAGTGTCAGTCAACAGATTGGGAGGTACCAAACCTAAGGCACCGAGAACAATGGGGAGTCGGACACCTTGGTACTTTGGATCCAAGCGTGACATTTCAAAGGCGAGGTCCGCGTATTTGCCATGTTTTTCCTCAATCTTGTCAATCACATTAGTGTCAAAGGGGACAGAAAATTAAATGATATAAATTATTTAATTGGATTTATCAAAAAGGACAAGATCAGGTTTGTTGGCCTGGATACGTCTAAGGCTGTAAATGGGCCTATTCCAAAGAATTTTGTGTTATCATTTTCCATGACGCCCTCTCCATATTCCGGGTCGTACCATGGGTGGACCTCTGTATCAAAACCACAAGCATGGTGAAGACGGTAATAAAATGATCGAGCTACACCATCATGTCCTTTAAGATACTGTGTTTGTGCCAAAGCTGGGCATCCCCTCACAATGTGTTTGACAGTCTCATTAAATTCATTACATAATCTACATTTCATATTTACATTTTGATGCAAAATCACACATTGACGGTTTCGAGTGGGAAGTGACTGGTCCTGAGCGGCAAACAGAAAGCCTTCCGTTTCACTTTTCAGGCCAGACGACTTCATCCAAGCGAAGGACTCTGCATGATTTCTCATCTTCTCAACACACTGCACTTAAACTCCATGCGGTGGTCGTTCTTCTTCTTCTAATTATTATTATTATGATGATGATGATGCAACTGACAATTCAGCAAAAAATAACAGTGCACTACTGGGTCATCTAAAATTGATCATGAAGTTCAAGCAGTTGAAGTGGTAAATGCAAGAGATTTGAGAAAATACCATAGAGCCTTTTTTTATAAATCCCTCTATAATGCCGGGATGCAGGTCTTAGGCTTTTACCACTTTACTGAAGCCAAGAGTGGTGCTGACAAACCTTTTTACATAATCTGGGCGAAACTGGAATTCGAAACCGCCGTCATCGGTTTCTTGCACGCCGCATTGACGTATCTCTGCACGGAGTGCGGTCCCTTGTACGACTGGGTCACCCGTGCCCCCAGTTACACACCGATCTGAAGTGATTTTGACACATTTAGGAGCATGTGTAGAAACGTAAAACCAAAGCCATGTACAGAATTTATTCTGCTCGAAGAGAAATAACAGACGATCGTATAACACTCTTGAATTGTAATGGAGTAGTGTAATGTGTAATGGAGGTACGCATCAGAACAAACCTTTGAGATTTAAAAATAGTTCATCTTGTACAACGTTATCACAGATGCTGCGAATGCTCAGGACGTGTTGACACAATGTCAGATGTGGTTGAAAACTGGGAATTCCGTCTCCCGTTCGCCGTTGTATCATCATTCAAACTAGATCTGCTGATGGTCCCAATGACACTATGCCTTGGCAGAGCACCTTTGTGGCAGCACAAGATCTGTTTAAGTGCCTGTCTAAATCGTCCCCCACTTACACAGTACAGGTAGAAGTTCGCACACCTGTTAATGTAAAGCAAATAAAACGATATCCCAAATAACAGATTGCCTAATCCTTGTTGTTGTGGAGAGCTGCCAAAATCTGAAAGCGTGCTTGGGCGTGTCGTAAAAATGGAGAAGGGGACTGTGCATGCGACAATCGTAAATGAGTCTATTATCAGCATGACGGACAGTTGCCGACCACGTGAGTCTATCTTCGTCTTGTTCCTAACACTCTTCTGACCTCTGCCGGAAACGGTACTGTTTCCCGATTTCCTCACGTTCTTGAAAATCACGAGATTGCTTACGATGATTATCGCAAAGGAAAAAAGTAGAAACATGTTGTGGACCCATGGCCAGACACTTGAATAAAAATATTGATAATGAGGGTTGCTCAGGTCAACATAACAAAGCACATCTGTCTGATCTTTCGGGACGATAACAGACTTGAACAAGAAATGAGCTTCCTTTACCACGATAACGAAGAAGAGCACGACAATCACAACCCTTGCCCGTCTCCTGCTGCACCATTTACTGGCTTGTAAAGGAAATGTAATGGCTATTGCCCTTTCAGTTGTCATAGCAACGGTCAAAATAATTCCAAAGTCACTAGATCCCCATCCAAAGAAATTGAAAAATTTGCACATATCGTCAAACTCAGGATTATGAAGAAAGATCCATGGATAATTTACGTACAGCCAATGAACGGGCAGAGCGATATCGAGGCTTGCAATGTCAGTGATTGCATTTACGCTCATGTAGAAGGAGGTCGCCACATTCCTGAAATAACGACTCTGCATTACCATGACCACCAAAACGTTACAAATTGTTCCCATGACAACCAAAATTGGAGGGACATATAAGTCAATATATGAAGCTATTATATATTCGGTGGTGTTGACAACTGATGTATTTGACATCATGGCACTTGTATCTAGGTCCTTGTAAAGAGTTCTTTCAATCCCTTGTATTGCTTCTAGCTAAGGGTTCTACGTGGATGATTTGTTTCCTATCAATATCTGGTGTTGACCACGACATTGCTGAACACCATTGTAGGTACGTTCACAGGCGCTGCAAAGACTCAATGGCTCACAGTTTACTTCCAAACCGAGTTTTTGTTTACGTTGAACCTTCATTTCTAATTTAATAATATTCAGATGACAAGATAAACAATGATGTGTCACGTTCACGACTCCGTTTGAATTTATGAGGTATAGATCTTAAAGTGATACTTTGTAAGGGAAACTGGTGCAATAAATGGTGCGGTTTGTCATAGTTCACTTTCAGTGACATCATGGCGGGGGTCACCTAGGAAGGGCTTCATGTGGGTATTTTACATGAACTTGAATTGCAATCAAATGTTTTCAAAAAAATAATCTTTTACCGAAAATGCTGGAAAAGAATTTGTCCTTAGGGTTTAAACGAAATATTTCTCGTTCTCTGGACATGTTTAGTCGGTCCCAAGCAGATTGTCTGGCTCCTGAATGATATGCTTTAAAGCTCTGACTCTCAGACATCTGCGTCTCCTCCCTTTGCTGTGCAGAGTTGCATGCCTTGGGTGTGAAATCCACATATATCATTGTCGAAAAAAACCACTTTGATCAATATCCTGTGCCAAATCCAAAACGCTTACACCACACCACATCCACATCCATATTCGCACACAAACACAAACACAAACACCCACACAACACCAACACCACCAACACCACCAACACCAACACTAACACCAACAACACCAAACACCAACACCAAACACCAACACCAACACCAACACCAACACCACACCACACCACACCACACCACACCACACCACACCACACCACACCACACCACACCGCACTCCACCGCACTGCACCGCGCGCACCGCACCGCACCGCAGATGTCGATCCCTGAGATGAACATAAGTCTTCCCAATGGATAAGGGACGCATATACTTTTCATTGTAACTAGTTCCCTTCATTTTTATGCATACCGACTATGGGGATCGGCCGGTAAGATTCGCTGACTTGGTTGATGCATGTCATCGTTCTTGCGTGGATCGGTGCTCATGATATCAGTCACTAGATTGTCTGGCCTAGACTCGATTATTTACATACCACCGTCATGATGATAAGGCTGCAGACAGACGAACCACGTTTTGCAGAAGAACATCATTAAAAATGGCTGATGAACGGAATATCATGGCAACAATGCCATTTGTATGCTGACCAGGTTGCCATAACAGACCTCTTCCTTGCATGACAAAACAACCTGTTTTGATAATGGTTAGTTTGAAAGACACCAAACAATACATTGATTAGGATTAGCGATAACCTGAATCGTGAGGTTTGCTTGAAGCTAATATGATAAAAGAACTGAAGCCGTGCATCCACTGGGCACGTGGACACGGACACGTTTATCAATGTTTGTTAAGAACTGATATCAAGATTGAACAGAACACCGGATTTTATGTTTATCAATAAACGCAAGTATATATTGAAGTCATTTCTGATAATAAAAAGTAAAAACAAAAAGGTGACACTATGAAATCATAATCAGTGTAAGAGTTCAGCGCAATAATGCAACGCAAGCCCCGCCCTCTCTGTTATCAGCCAATCAGGAAATAGTAGTCCGTCAGGGAGAATGTTTTTTGGCTTATGGACATCCTAAATAGCCAACCCGTGAATAGCCGGGTCAGAACAGGTCAACAGCGACCCATGCGACTACGCTTTTCGTAAGAGGCGACTAATGGGATCGGGTGGTCAGGCTCGCTGACTTGGTTAATGCATGTCATCGTATCCCGATTGCGTGGAACGATGATCATGATATCAGTCACTGGATTGTCTGGTCCAGGCTCATATAACTTGAATATTGCTGAGTGCGGCGTTAAACAACACGAAAACAAACTAACAAGATCTAAAATAGCCAATGAAATACCACGGAATCACTTGCCGTTTATCATGGTGACTATGGCCAGTATGTTTATCATGGTGACTTTGGCAAGTAAGTTTATTATGATGACTATGGTAAGTTTATCATGGTGACTATGGCCAGTGAGTTTATCATGATGACTATGGCCAGTAGGTTTATCATGGTGACTATGTCCAGTATGTTTATAATGGTGACTATGTCCAGTTAGTTTATCATGGTGACTATGGCCAGTGAGTTAATAATGATGACTATGGTAAGTTTATCATGGTGACTATGACCAGTGAGTTTATCATGATGACTATGGTAAGTTTATCATGGTGACTATGGCAAGTGA